TTATAAATATAGTTAATTATTATATTTCATAATGGATCCCAAAAAAAAAAAAATCATATCATAATATTTTTAAATTACATGCATTTAATTTTTTTAAAATATTTTATTAACAAATTTGAAACGACACGCGAAAGACGTGAAAGATAGCTTTTCTAGTTGTTTGTCGATATCTTACTATCTAGTCACATTAGTAACATTTGTTCAGTATTGTTAATGACGAAGTAAGAGCCACAAATGAGCGACCGTTAATGAGTTTTAACTTGTTCCTAATTTGAGATCATATCCTACTATTTGATTACCTATACTAGACTTGTAGCATTATCTAGATGGGTATGTTTTCCTTACAATGTACAACCAACCTCACATGGTTCCAGAGATGGGCTCATAAATGAATGTGCAGTATCGATTTGAGTCGCACATTTGACACTAACTAGATATATACCTATTTGAAGAGGGTTGTAGAGTTCTTGTCATTGAGGTGCAAGACAAAAGCTCGATGGATTGAATAAACATTTATAGGCTGATTGCTTTTATTGGCTATTATACAATTGCAATAAGCCATTTTTCGTAACCAAAGAAAGGAGATTGGTTTTTCAAATAAATACATTTTTAATTGATTTAAATTAAAAAATACACCAATCACTTATTTTTTTTATTGTGTAATAAGAATTACTCTTAAAACTACCACTTCTTTTACTTAAAAAGGTTTAAAAAAATTATTATAAAATAAAGTTATCTAGAGATATTTCAAAACATTGGTCTAGCAAGGACTTTAGCACAAATTTATGTTTACATGGTCCTCCTATGTCACATTTGTTTGTAATGGAACCCAATTTTATTTTATTTTATTTTTTTCTTACAAAATATTCTCATAGAACTCTTTTATCTTCACTTTCAAAGTTATTATTATTAATTGGATCATTTAGATGGCAATTTTCAATTCACCAAAAATATTTTTTGAATTAAAATACTTAGGAGACCGTAATCACATAAATTAAGCAATTACTGGTGGTAGAGTCTAGTATTATTAATGGCTAAAAATATTCACACCACAATTTCTAATAGCTAGACTACATTTTAATTGTATGAGATATTCATAAACTTTACAAGTTATTATATTTATGTCTTAATTATTTTATTGCATTTTTATTCTCAAATTAACATAAATTTTCTTATGGTTTTTCTTCAGATTCTTCTTTAAGATAGAGTAAAAAAACTCTTTTGTCCATTGTATTTTTAAATAAGCAAAATAAATAATAATGGAAAAATACGATTAAATATTTGACCATCATTTTAAAGCACATTAACAATATTTTTGGACAAAAATCATTATTAAGAACAAGTTTTTTTTTTCTTTGATCAATGGAGTGTTGAAAATAAGAATGTGATGAAGAAAATTTAATGAATAAAGATTCATGATCGTCAATGTAATTAGAATTTGGTGTATTTAAAATATATATATATGAAGTGAATATAATTACCTAATATTAATTAGATATTCGACAATTAATGAGGAATTGTTGCTTTTTGGATTTCATTTCAAAATATCTGACCTCTAGATGTTAATTGGCATACTTGATTATGATAATTAAGAATCAACAAAATATTTGGATGATAGAACATTGAGTCTATGAAACAAAAGTTTAATTTATGAAGTGTGTCTAGAACTTTCTTAACTGTGTTAGGTGGGTACTTCTCCTATGAAGTATTAAAAAAATCTTGAAACCAATCAATTTTTAAGACACACAAATTAGAGTAATGCTACCTTATCACAAGTCATTCTATGTCACAATGTCCAATAAAATTGAATTATGTTTTTATCCAATAGATAATGTCGTAAAAGTTCAATTGCCACATAGATGAGTTCTAAGCACCACCAGTGCTATAATTATGTAGCATTATTCATTTCATAGAGTCCACATTTGCAAAAGAAAATTAAGCTCTTCACGAAAATAATGTGCAAATTGATTTTAGGACTTTTTTTTCAAGTCGTATTCGTCCTAAACCATACCCACCTCTAGAGTTAAATTAATTCAATTGAGTTGGATCATATAAGTGATACCGATTAATATTAATTTGAGTACTACTTCTTGCCAAATAATCAAATAAATTTCATCCATTTTACCATTGTCCAATCAAGCATAATCCAATATGCCATACAATTTCTCCATGATAGCATGTCAAATTTCTTCCTTATAATAGGAAATAAAAAAGGATCATAAACATAGTGGGCGCATGTGAATTCATTTTCATGCACTTTGGATTTGAATCTCTTTTTCTTAATGGAGTTACAATCTTTTAGAAACATATAAAAGGGCTTAGGATACTGATTTTGAATCTTGAAATTTTGAGAGAAAGCTATTAAACTGAGATGTAAAGGAGCATGCTTAATTATATATTCTACCTTTCTAATTCTTAGACTTGGGGCAACACAAAATTCAAGTCCTTTTTCTTCTCTTAGAGATGCTTTCTCACTCTCTATAGACACACATTAAGAGGAATTGTTTACCTTTGCATCATCTTCTTTTAAAATTGGGGGGTTAACCCCAAAAAGTTCTGGTTAGACCCAATATGAGAAACTTTTAACCACAAGCATCCCATGTCACGTGTTAAGATTTAAAAATTTGATGACAGCCAACCCATAAAAATACTTTTATGTAGTCATTTGTAAGAAAACATATTCTTCTTGGACATGCATGCATGGACATTACCCACAAAATGTGGTCCTCTCCTACATTTACTCTTTTATACTGCTAATACTTGAGATTCGAGCTCCTCAAGACTCCCACCACCCCGCCCCCCACTCCTCAACTACACACACACATCTCTCTCTCTCTCTCTGAGTGTTTGTATCAGAATATATATCTGTGTATATTTATCAGAAGCATGCTTCCAGACGTCAGCCATTACTTCTGGAATTCCATGATAAGCGCTGATATTTGGTACACAAATGAATGAAATCTACTTACCACCTTTATCTTAACTTTTAAGTACAGATTAAAAATAATCTAGTACTATTGTTGTGTCACAATGGGAAAAAGTGATAACAATGATTTTGCAAAAGAAAATATAGGCAAATAATTTTCAAAATTACTTGTCGGCCTATTGAAGTATACAATACTTGGATTCTCGATAGAATTGTGATGGATTTTGTTAAATTATTTCATTAAGATTCCGTTTGGCTCCCATTATTTCACAATTTAAAGAGTAGAATAGTATTTTTTGAAAAATGAGTGATTGAGAAAAAAGGAAAAGTTTTCGATTTACGCGTAATATTATTTTATATTGTGTGATTGAAAATAAGAAAGAAAAAAATAAAATTTAATTTAATAGGATCAAACAGGGACTTCGCAAGTGGGCTATGAGGAGTAACAAATTGTGCTGCTATAAGTTCTAGGACAATACTTGGAGTCCATTATGTTCAAGTAGAGTAATCCTAAGTTCTTTTATGTATTTAACGCATCCATTTTAAATCGATGGACAGGGCTTTACACCAGTGAACAGGACTGGTGATTGCATAAAAAATATTTAGCAATTCCTTAGGATTTTAAATGAGATATATAGCTAAAAATTCATAATTAATATTTTAGAGATTCACTAACTATTTGTTAATATCTTTATTTAGCCTTCGTTCAACGAACAAAATTTATATATCATATAAATTCTGTTAAAGTAAAACATTTATCTCGACTATACATTTATCACCATTACTCATTTATCATCTACATGTTTCGTGGGATTCATTACTATTCCTCTTTATAAACCATTTATAAATTTGTCAAAAGCCTTATAATCTTCTTTGGGTACATTTTGTGAATTGTATTTTCTCAGCATTCTAACAAACTATTCCTGCAGACACTATGCAACATTTTTATGTTAGTTTTCAGTAAATTTATAATACACGAGCATATTTACTAGGTTAGATTGAAGAGGATTAAGACAGACTTGAGAACAAGGATGTGCTCAATCGGTAAGATCAGTAAGGATGAAATTCAAGAAATTTAAAAAAGAAGGAAGAAGAAGAAATAGAGAGGTTCGACTGGTAGCAATCTCCGGAATAATTAGGTTCCAAAGTGATTCTATAATAAGTTCTTAGTATAAGTTTCTCTCTCTCTAGGTCACATATACGAGGAGGTGCATAGAAATGATCTCCTACCCATTGTGGACAGAAGTTATAGTGCGTCAAACCATTTATCTTTGAAAAGTCAAAAAGTTACGATTTGATCATCAATGCGGCAGCGTCACATCTGCGGTGGGCAATTGGTATCCTATCCACTATGGACCGAAAATCAACTTTGAGAAGAATCAACCATTTCAAATAAATGGATCTGCGTACCTAAACCATAAAGGAACATCCAATGAATGGGACGGGCTATTTGTTGAGAAAAACTAAAGCTTGAAGATAGTAAACAAAAGCTTTAGTAGCTATTAAGTTTAATATTATTCATTGACTTAAAAAGGTTTTTATAGGCCATTACAAAATAGAAATAATGACAACTGCATCCACCATCATTTATCGTGACTATCTCTAAGGAAGAATAAATCAAAGAGAAATAATATCCTACAAACTAGGATTTATTTCAGCAGAAAGTAACAAACATTTAAACCAGCAAATTAACTATTAAGACTTGGTCAACTGATAACCAAGTTTCCCAACAACTCCTCCCTTAAACTGAACTGTAATCATACAGTCAGTTTAATCCTTGAACACTGCACAAACCAAGTTGCTCTCTCATCTTCAAGAACAATTCTAGTTTCAAAGGTTTCGTCATGATGTCAACCAACTGATCCTTTGAGCCACAATGCACCAATTCTACTATTCCATCATTAGCCAAGTCGCAAAGAAAGTGAAATCGAACATCGATATGCTTACTCTCACCATGCATAACAGGATTCTTCGAGAGTTTGATGGCTGAGTTATTATCACAAAATATAATGCACTTACATTGCTTAAGACTAAGTTTCCCAAGAACTCGCTGCATCCACACACTTTCACAAGTTCACGCAGCAGCAGCAATGAACTCTGCTTCAGTGGTGGAAAGTGACACAACTGGTTGTCTTTTGGAACTCCAAGCTACAGCTGCTGAACTCATTTTAAAAACATACCCTGAAGTGCTTTTGCGGCCATCAAGATCACCTGCATAGTCACTATATGAATAAGCAAGCAAGCTCTCTTCTCCCTCCTTTTTGTAGAGTATTCCCAACTCAGTTGTTCCCTTTAAGTATCGAAAAACTCTCTTTACTGCTTGTTGATGCAATACAGTAGGTGCCTCCATGAAACAAGCTATCAAACTCACTACTTACATAAGATCAGGCCTTGTGACAGTCAAGTGCATGAGACTGCCCACCATTTACTTGTATGTAGTGGAATCAATTTTTGCCCCTCCTTCATCTTTAGCAAGTCTACTTCCTGGAACAATAGGATTTTTTTACAGGTTTACATTGATCCATCCCGAATCTCTCTAGTATCTCATTTGCATACTTCTTTTGACTTATGAAAATCCCAGCTGAGCTTTGCACCACTTCTACTCCAAGAAAATACTTCATGCAACCAAGATCAGACATGTCAAACTCCTTTTTCATTGAATTCTTAAACTTTTCGAACATTTGCTCATTATTTCATGTGAAGATGAGATCATCGACATACAAAATCAGACATGTGAAACTCCTTTTTCATTGAATTCTTGAACTTTTCGAACATTTGCTCATTATTTCATGTGAAGATGAGATCATCGACATACAAGCTTACAATAATCATACCTCCATCTTCATTCTTCTTTGTAAAAAGTGTGTGATCACTCATGCATCTCTCAAACCCCTCATTGATGAAGTATGATTCAATTCTATTGAACCAAGCTCTAGGGGCTTGTTTAAGTCCATAGAGTGCTTTCCTCAACTTGTAAACTTTGCTTTCTTTACCCTTCACCTCATAACCTTGTGGCCGTTCCACAAATACTTCCTCACTGATCTCACCATGCAAAAACTCACTTTTGACATCAAGTTGGAATACTTTCCAACCTCGATTAGCTGCAAGTGAAATTATAAGTCGAATGGTGTCCCAACGAGCTACAGGAGCATATACCTCAGTGTAGTCAATGCCGGCTTTCTGCGTATATCCTTTTGCTACGAGCCGAGCTTTGCATTTATCTAGTTCTCTCTTCTCATTCAACTTAGTCTTAAAAACCCATTTAACACCTTCCTTTTTTGCTCCTCTAGGCAATTCAGTTAGCTCCCATGTGTCGTTCTTCTCAATAGCTTAAGTTTCTCGATCCATATCTTCTCTCCAAGTTGGACTTTTTGCAGCCTCTTCAAAAGTTGTTGGGTCATTTGCTGCGAACATAGCAAGTTGCTGCATTTCCATAGCAAGTTGCTATACTTCATCTTCTTCCTCGGACAAACCTTCACCACTTACATAATCCCTCATCCATATTGGTTCATTTCTTCTCCTCCCTTGAACTGAACTTGTCACATTAGTTGGTGTAGGTAGGTTTGAATTGTTGCTTCCATTCTCTTCTTCTTCTTCAACTTCTTCCTCTTCTTCTTCTCTTTCTTTTTCTTCATCTTCCCATTTAAAATTGCTGCAATGAGCTTCTTCACTAGTTTTTTCCCAGTTCCATTTTTCTTCCTCTTCAAAAACCACATCTCGACTTATGACAATCTTCTTGGAGATCGGATCATACATTCGAAAAGCTTTGGATTCTTCGCTGACCCCCAGAAACACACATCTGAAGCTTTTATCATCAAGTTTTTTTCTTTTTACCTCAGGTATATGAACATGCCCTATACACCCAAATATTTTGAAGTATTCCACTGAAGGCTTAATTCCATTCCATGCTTCTTCTGGCGTTCTATCTTTCATTGCTGATGTAGGACATCTGTTGAGAACATGTACTGCCCAATTTACAGCTTCTGGCCAAAATTCCTTAGGAACTTCTTTGTCAGTCAGCATGCACCGCACCATGTTCATAAGAGTTCGATTCTTTCTCTCTGCAACTCCATTTTGTTGCGGAGAGAAGGCTGCAGTGAGTTGTCTTCTGATCCCTTTTGAACTGCAATATGTGTTAAACTCCGTTGAGGTGAACTCCACACCTCGGTCAGTGCGTAAGCAGCATATATTATTCCTTATTTCTTTCTCTAACATGCTTTTAAAATTTTTGAACATAGTGAGCGCTTCTGACTTAGCATGCAAAAAATAAGTCCACATCTTACGACTATAATCAT